CTTCCACACGCAAAACCTACCGCGCTGACAAACTACAAAGAGGCCGACCTAAACGACAGCGACACAGTTCACAGTAGGAAATTAATTCTGTTGTGTAACAATACCCATGTTTTCCAGACTCTGAAATTCCAGATTAAATCTATGGACTGTCAAGGGTTACTCTGGCCTTTCAAAGTTTACAAAAAAAAATATTCTACTTTGGGAAATTTTACCGTAAAAAAACAAGTATCCTCAGCCTTGTTTGTTAATTGCGTTAGAATTAAGAGTCCAACTTCAGTACAAATAATTGTCCTAGTGGATTAAACCGTTGCTTCCTGAATTTGATGACATAGTATTTGGGAGTTCAATGCCTGTATGTACTCAGTGGATACGGGCGAACAATATCAGGACCATAATAAAAATAAAAACGAGATGCTATCCCTAGACATGGACAGTGGAACGAGAACAGTCTACCGTCGTAGATTAAATAAAGTGTTCAGGTTACCTAAGTTATCTAGACCAATATATACCTGATGAAGACAGGAGAGCAGAAAATAGTGCGAATATAAACTGTATTAATAATAATAACTCCTAATCCTATAATTTCAGACAGAAACCTGTTAAAGACTTTTTTAAAAATCTCAACCGTCATTATAAGCTAACTGTTCGGTCAATTAATGCCTCAAGTTTTCTGTATCTAAACGTTTAATCTCATCATTACATAATAAATTTACTTTGTCAAACCTCATTGAAATACAACTTATATGTCATTAGACAGATAGCAATAAATGCAGTAAGGGGTAACGGTTTAATGATTCATGTTCGATTACTGGGATTGATATCAGTGAACATTTAAATCATCTTTCTAATTAATGTCCTATTTTATCGGAATTGTAAACGAACCGTAAACGAAAATAGAAATATTCATACTATACGAATAGACTACAGTACGATTCTCGTATTTTTCTACTCCATCTTTATCCCCAACCATGGGGGCTCTAGAATGATTACATTCATTATACACACACACACACACACACACACACACACACACACACACACACACACACACACAAACACACACACACACACGCACACAGAAACACACACACACACACACAGAAACACACACACACAGAAACACACACACACACACACATATATAGATAAATATATCAATAAAACTCATTGGAAGTTATATACTTTGGTTTATTTTCATATTCCTAATTTCCGCCTCGTTTTAATAATAAATTTCAGTTTTAGTTGTGGTTCGTCATTAAACATTTTTGTATATACCTGGGTTGCCCTGTGCGAATATGTTTCATTTTATTTATCTAAGAAAGTGCCAACGTATTCTTCTAAAGAAGTATTGGTCAAAAAATGATGTTTAAAGAATGAGTTTTTGTATATTTAAAACAAAATACAAATACTGGGGTGTGAAACTTTTGAGACATTTGGTATGGTTGGATTTTAAATCAGTGAGTGATTCTTGTTACACACACACACACACACACACACACACACACACACACACATATATATATATATATATATGTGTGTGTGTGTGTGTGTGTGTGTACTTGCATATACCTGTACATTTATACATAAATACAGTTTTTTTACTATATATATATATATATATATATATATAGATACAGTTATTTATATATATATATATATATATATATATATATATATATATATATATATATATAAATGAACATAGACGAATTAGAGACAGTCTGTTGTTACATGCAATCGTCAGGCCACTCGTGGCCTGACGATTGCATCTATCACGAAACAGACTGTCGCCTCTAAGTGTTGACATCTATGTTCACTTTTATATTTGCACACGCTTTATCTCTGATATTGAGCACTTTATCCCATAAATATAGCACATCTTCAGACTATATTTCTTCATATATATATATATATATATATATATATATATATATATATATATATATATATATATATATATATGTTCGTGTGTGTGTGTATGTTGGTACATGTCTATACATATGCATGTATATGTGCCCCTTCATATATACCCATATACGCACACGCATGCGGTGCCTGTACACAGACATACATAATCATATATATATATATATATATATATATATATATATATATATATATATATATATATATATATATTAATGCGTGTTTCATTAAATAATATTGACAAGTTTTGTCTATTTATTTTAAGTAAGTTCCTTTTATATTGCCTTGAGGAGGTAATGGTGATCTGTGTCAAGTGGGTGGCTACTGGAAGACCGTATGTCTGGCAACAGGACACTTTACCATACCACACAAGCAGGAGAATCCAGTCATGGCTGTCAGACTATTTCTGTGAACACATAACCTCTTACAACTGGCCACCTACCTCTCCAAACTGCAAACCCTTGATTATGATGTGTGGGTCTCTTTGTAACACCAACGATAAACTGAAGGCAAGGATTATGGCAGCATTCACCAACTTAAACACCACGAAGAAGAGATGCAGGATATTCTGAAGTCGTCTAGAGGCCCTGGTTGAAGCTAATGGCGATTTTATTGAAGAAGTTTACCCCTTCGTATTTCAAGATACTTTCATGTAATTTTGATAAATATATCTGTTAAATTGAGATGTCGGGGTTGTTTTTAATTTTCTTTCATTTAGGCTACAATTTATCCATCGCACTCTGTATATACATATATGCGCACTCACACCGACATGCCAACCCCACGCAAACATACTTGCATATATATATATATATATATATATATATATATATATATAACTTATGAAAAGTATATCACTTCCATTAATTTAACTTTTTAAATAGTTTAAGGTTTGGTCCCTCCTCCCCCAATATTAAGTATGATTGAAAGAAATATTAAAATAAACCCTCTCTAAACACGATCATGTCTCTCACACCACTCCTCGCTACCCTCTTTGTTAAATTACATAAACTTAATACTACCCGTCAAAAGTGTGAATTTTCATTTCATCTTTCGCTTCATTTTTTGGAAGTGTTATCTGATGATCCAGCCTCCCTTAAAAGGGCTCTGGTGAAATAAATTATTATAATGGAACCTTAAAGTGGTCTGTTTTTCTTTAAATATATATATATACATGGAACTTCTAATTGTGGATAAGGATGAAATATACGTACTCTTTTTCTCTTTATGTATTTTTTATTTGCTTTGTATTTTGTGCATATTTCATATACCTACATTGAGCACTTAGTAGCGTCTACGAACTTGAACTGCTAAAAAGCGCTCAGTAGATAACTAGAGCCATAACAACTACACAAATAACTCATGTAACTTAAATGTTTACCGATACACCAGGCCCTGATGTGCGTTTCAACACGAAACCTTTGTGTCGTTTAGCCAGATAAGACTTTTGAATTTTTATTGATTCAATGAATATAAATTTATCTAAATTTTAAAATAGGATAGTTGTTTGAAATTATATGAATTTACATATAACTTTGCACCTGTTTATCTTTTCTCGCTTTTGTTCTGTGAAAAATAAAAGGTAAATTTAATTGAAATCCTGTAGATTAGTTATATGAAACAATTCCCTTTCCTAATTCAAAATACGACTTAAGGTCACGTCCGAACGTTATTTTTTCACGAGAATTGTGTTCTGCTAGCCTCTAAACAGTCGGGCAAAAGCCCATACACAAATGTATTTCAGGACAATCGACATAATTACAAATGTGAACTGATCGCTCATGGGATTTTCTATATATTGTCTTTTTAATCGACTTAACGCAAAAAAGAAAGATAATTGAATTAGAAACCTTGCCTAAAGCTTCTCAGCTGCAGGAAAATGCACACATTGAACAATATCAGATAAGCGTCGGAAGCGTACACTTAGAGTAGTGATGAGTGAACGCCAGGCAAACGTTGATCGTGAGGGAGGCATAATCAATAATCATATTTTCTTACGTGCCTTTTTCTCTGTGCCTTTTCCATAAATACTTTCATGGTAACTAGTCTTTAAGCGCATCTCTACATTGGCGGCAAGGTCTCATCATTTTACAGTTTAATGAACTAGATGTAACTCTATGTAATAATATAGCAGAGGTGGCCAAACTTGGATAATGTAATAGCCACAGACGATTAAGTTAAGATGTTTGCGAGCCATAAGTCAGGAACAAAATTTACACAAACGTGTTTGTTGCATACATATTGGTATTAATCTTACGTTTTAATTACAATTCATAGCGAGTAAATAATTATAAAGCTTGAATGTTTTCTTATTTCCCTTTTATATTAACTCTGATGAAAAAAAGGTGTTCAGCCAAGATATTTCTAAAAGCTGACTATTAAAGAACAATATACGCCCATGGCTCACGAGCCAGGGTTTGGTCAAACCTGTTCTATGCAAACAGAATCTTCTATCGCACTTCTTGCTTGCAGGATTCTTTACGGATTTCTTGCTTCTCAGTCTACATTAATCTTCAAAAGTTTAAACGCAATTGCCAATCGTTACCTTCTGTGTTCGTAACTCCTGTTCTTTCATTGTCTTCCTTCCTTAATAGCATATTTTCTTATATTCGCTAACACTCATTAACCCCTTGCGTCCTAGTGGCTTTATTAACTTGCTTGGGCTGAAATTATTAAACAAAAACGAAAAAATGGATCCAGTGTCATTCTTTTCTTTGAGTGATTTCTAAAGTTTGACTGGCGTAGAGTGAAGAGATGGATCCATACAGTTTTTTCGCAGATGAACACAACAGCCTCGGTTCGAAATTGAATACGACTGATCCAATTTTCTGCACCGCTGAGTACTACCCTATACGCACAAAGACTAAAGTTGCCCAGGAGATTTTCGACTAGAAACGACTCACTTTGAAATAAGCTACGTAAAGGAGGGGAAGTGTTGTCACTGATGATGAGACGATGAGGACTGGCTTTGGAAGCAATCGGCTTCAAACGGGTCAGCAGATGACATGTTTCAATAAAAGCAAAATAGTTTATTTTTCATCAGCATTTGCATTGCGTTGAAAATAAGATACATATTAGTTATATAGATCCCGTAGGAAATCAAGAAACAAACAAAACTGAATCGTACGAATGGCAGCCAGCCAGGCGAATGAACCGTTTCTTTGTCGATTATTTTCAACTGTTGAGACGTTTTCCTCGTAAGATAATCAAAAGGAATCACACGAATCGCTATTTTCAGATAAAGTTTTTTTTCTCGGATTGATTTTAATATTTACCGTGTCAGTCAAATTGAAAAATGCATGGCGATTTTTTGATTATCTCATACATACGGAAATATAAAATCATTATCTTAGTGGCTTATGGCCATATAAATTTGAAACACCATTTCACGTACGATTACTGGGGTTAAGAAACACCGAGCCTGGTCAGTAACACTTTGGAATATCAGGCGCTGTAAGCTTGGATGTCCGTCTGGTGTAATGAATATTTTGAATTGGGAAAAGGGAATTGTTTCTTATAAATAATCTACAGGATTTCAATTAAATTGGCTATTTTTTCCCGCGACAAAATCTAGAAGAGATACACAGCTGCACATTTATATGTAAATTAATATATTTCAATCAACTACACCCTTTTAAACGTAATTTTAATATTTAAATAAATATATATTCAATAGATCAGTAAAAATTCAATTGTCTTATCTGGTTAACCGACTCAAGGGTAACGTGCCGATACGCTAATCAGAGCCAGATGTTCAGGTAGCCATTTAAGTATCTTGAACATTCTTGGTTATTTATTGTACATTATAGGTCTAGTTATCTATTGAGTGCTTTTTGGTAGAAGGGCATCTAACTTAAAAAAAGAAAACACGCTAAATTCTTATAATTATCACGTATTTTTGCAATTGTATTGTACGTGTGTGTGTGAGAGCGCGCGTAAGCAATGTATGTAGAAACTTAAAGCAAAGTGATCAATGAAGAAATATGAAAAATACATAAAATAAAGACTAAATATAAAATACATAAAAAGAGAAAACAGTAGTTATATTTTACTGTTTCCCACAACAATAATAGCCATGTAGTGTTGGTCAATGGTCAGGCAGCGAAAGAGGAAATAAGGCACTCATTCAGTTTTTAAATGAATGTATTTTGCCTCATTCTCAGACTAACTGCTCTAATATATATATATATATATATATATATATATATATATATATATATATATATTTATATATATATATATATATATATATATATATATATATATATATATAAAAAAAGAACAGTAAGATATATAATCCGGTGTTCTTATAGATATTTTATTTTTACAAAATAGTGCTCAATGTAAATTTACAGAGCATTAATATTATAAATTAATTGATTTAAAATATGGTTTTTTTTCGCTACACAGTTTTAACCATGTTTCAGAAATGGAAGCTAAAAGCCCTGAATTTAATTTTGTGACTAAATTAAAGACATTAGTTCCATTTCATCCTCAACCGAATTTTGGAGTAACTTTTAAAATTACTGGGTTTTAAATACACAGCAATATATATATATATATATATATATATATATATATATATATAAAAAAAACTATGTAATCCCTATGAGTAAACCTAAGGAGGATAAAATCCAGAGATGTCAATTTAATAATCAATAATAAAAACTTTTAAAACGTTTAAAAAAAAAAGAAGATTACTAGAAGTAGACTTATATTTTAAAATAAAATTTTATTCTTTTAATGTACTTTCTATGAATATTTTTCTAATTGACTATTTCATCGAAAATCCCCAAAAGTTAAAAAAAAAATTTAAATCACTAACAAACATCAAATTTATATCAAACATTATAATCTTTATGAACCCCCAAAATAACACTTTCAAACTAAAGCAAAATAACAGCGTCTGTTTCTAGCATTTTTTTTACAAAGAAAATTAGTGACATCTTCTCTTCTCTTCTCTCATAACTTCCTTCTCTCTTTTTCTCTCTATGGGTTTTTTCTTCTCTACCCCTTCGATATCAATATATTACTTCCGTTAAGTTAACCGTTTAAATGTGTCAATATCTGCTAAGTCACTCGTGTCTTCTCTCTCCCACCTCACTTCCTCACTTCCTTAATTTACATATGTTTAATACGGCCCGTCAAAAATGTGTAAATTTTCATTTCATTTTTTGTTGCGAAGTAAAGCCTGATGATCCGCAGTCCCTTAAAAGGGCTGTGGTGAAATAATTTATTACATGGAACCTTAAAGTTGTCTGTTTTTATTTAAAATATATATATATATATATATATATATATATATGAGTGTGTGTGTGTGTTTATATATATATATATATATATATATATATACAGAGATAGATAGATAGATAGATAGATAGATAGATAGATAGATATACATGTATGAAAAAATCTCAGAGTTAACCTGTAGAAAAGATAATATCTATAAAGGTAAAAACAATAGAAAACTGTAATATTAGTCAACGCGTTTCGTCCAAATTTATTTCATTTTTTCATTGAAAAAGTCTACTTCAGACAAAACGCGTCGGCTAATATTACAGTTTTCCTATTGTTTTTACCTTTATAAATATACATGCATATACATACATACATATATATATATATATATATATATATATATATATATATATATATATATATATATATATATATATATATATATATATATATTTATTTTTCAGCAACATATTTTTCATTAAGATAGGTTTCGTTAAAGAATTAAGATATGTTCTGTCTAACCTCCAATTAACCCCAAGTATATCAACCTTTTATATCGTAACTAGATGCATTCTAATTATAGACAAGACGAAAATATCCTAAAAAAAATTAATAAAGACTAATACATCTACCATAGACCGTACTAAAAAAAATAAAAATTATTATATGCACTAAATCCACTATATCTAGTAAAACTATTCGTAATGACTCTTCCCCGGTCACTTGCGTGTTGCAGAAAACAAAAATCGTTTATAAATTTAAATGTCTACTGGGAGACAGCATCTCCAACGATAAAAAATAATATCTATGTCGGACACTCAATGTTTTCACGTAGGCTAAGTCGTCACCTGAATAACACGTCCATTTTTTTTAAACATTTACAACATACTTGTCTACATTCGCAATTCAAAAAAAAGTCCTCGCCGAAAATTCCTTCATACTTTTCCACGAGTAGAATAAACACAAACGAAATATTCTCGAAGCTATTTATATAAAAAAATTGAAACCAAACCTCAATAAAATTAATTAAGAATGCTCCACAAACATTTTAAAATGTGCACAAGAGATAGTCTTTAAATGTTAGCACTGGTCATTAATAGTTTTTCCTTTATCTAGCAACTACACAAGTCCGGAAATTTTTCCTAGCTTACATATTTACCTCTACTTAAACGGTGCTCGTGTCACCCACGCCATGACACAGCGTTCCTGACTCCACATATAAAAATGGTAATTTTCGGATGACCACGACAATTTTTGTCCTTCACAAACATGAACACTAAATACTTACTCTACAAGTAACAATGCCCTGATGATGACGACATTATGCTATGTCGAAAGTACTAGGAAATAAATAAATACATTATGAGCCAAAACAGTGTTTTCCGCTCGTCTTTTAATAACCGCACATAAAGGCTTATTAGCGAATATGAAAGGATCCTATCGCGAATAAGTAGACATAACATGTATAAATTATTTAATGAAACATGTTATCCTATATATATATATATATATATATATATATATATATATATATATATATATATATATATATATATAAAAACAAACCAAGCATCACAATGCTACCTATCGTATCAGAAGAACAACAGGCAAAATAAAAATGGTTCTAATATATATATTTTATTGTTACGTGCATGTGTGTGTGTCTGTGTCTGTCTGTATGTGTCTGTTCTTATATATATATATATATATATATATATATATATATATATGAGAAATAATTGTATCCATGCAAATGTGCGTGCTGGTATGCAAAAAAGTCTCTGTATACACACGTAACTATCAGCGGACACGTATATGAGAACATGTATGTTTAAATATATCTAAAAGGCTCTTAAAATAAAAATGTGTCACCTGTTTCTAACTCGGGTATCCACTAAAAATAACGGTTGAATAATAAATATAAATAATTTATCTAAATATATAGTAGAACAGGCACTAGATTGGACAGTAACGTCATAAACATTAAGTAGAGCTACAAGAGACATGATCGACCGTGTCGTGATATATAAAATAAGCATACGTAAATTGACCTGCAGGATGCAAATGTGAGAGATTTCTATGAACGTCTGGGGAAACTATTACATGTATTACATGTATTACACACATGTATTACATGTACCATAATGCAAACTAGGAACGTCTGGGGAAACTATTACATGTATTACATGTATTACACACATATATTACATGTACCATAATGCAAACTAGGAAATGAAAGCTTGTGTTAGAACTATAACAGGGAAATATTAGGTTGTCCCAAAAGTTCGTAAACACTTGCAAAAAATTGAAATTTTACTCGCCAAGTAATAACAAAAAACAACAAAAATTATTCCTCAAAATAAAGACCATCATTTTCCAAGACTTTCTGCCATCGATCTGCAAGCTTTCAAATCTGGTGAAAGTACCATTCAACCGGATTCGAATCAAAGAATTCTTGACATGCTTCCTCGACTTCATCAAACGAGTCGAATCGGCGGCCCATCAGAAAGTGTTGCATTGAGCGGAAAAGGTCGTAATCTGATGGCGCACAGTCAGGACTGTAGGCTGGATGTGGCAGAACCTCAACGCCGTCCAGCTCTTCAACCTTGTCTTTGGTCTTCCTGGCGGTGTGTGGCTTGGCATTGTCCTGCTGCATCAAAGCGCGCTTTCGGTTGATCAGAGCCGGGTACCTTTGCTTCAACTTTTCGTAGACCCGCTCCAGTTGCTGACAGTAAAGTTCGGCACTGATGGCACGACCATTCGGAAGCAACTCAAAATGCACGATTCCTTCAAAGTTCCACCAAACGCATAAAATGACTTTCTTGCCGAATCGATCTTGTTTTGGAACCGACGGTGTCTCTTGCCCTTTCTGAACCCATCGCTTGTCTCGATTGTGCTGGATTGTGTTGCATAAAAATTCAATTTTTCGCAAGTGTTTACGAACTTTTGGGACAACCTAATATATTCACAAGATAAGAAAGCCATAAATCAATATATATTTTCAGTACATGGTGTGTACTTCGGATTTTGTTAGTTACTAATACAAATATTAAACTTTAATTTTTTCAATACATTTTTAAATAAATCATTCATCATATATAAATAGTGATTTTCCAAGTGTAGCTTAGATGTTGCACAAGGCCTAAAGTAAGTGGCACCCAGTAAGGATCGAACTCACTACTCAGTCGTAATTGTTCTAGCGAGACAAGCTTTTTACATTATTTGGACTACTGTCCTCATCTTTATTGCCCTATTTATCACAACATTTCGGCCGTTGTACGCCTTCTTCAGGTAGTTGCAATGTCGAACTGAACTGTTTATTTCGCTCGCTGGGGTAGACTGTTCTAGTTTCACGTGCCATGTCTAATGGATGTCAGTTATCAGTTATCTTCTGAAATATAGACAGATACCGAGACAAGCTTGTTAACCATTACACCATCTCCAGGAGCCCTCATCAGATATAAATATATACTTATAAAAGTATTTCCTGAATTTATATGAATTCATGCTACCGTTCAGGTAAATCATGTATCAAAAAAATATAAGAATGATTTCAATTTTATTTTGATATATTTCTACATGTTTGTTGAAAGACTGATTTGTTTTTTACGACTTATCTACCCTTTGAAGGTCATTTAAAACCAGAAAACATTTTTGAATTGTAAGAATTTTGCGGAGAGATAGTAATAGTTTGCCTATAGATGTTCTACTAATTAACCCACAAAAGTGGGGAGAAGATGGGTATTCATACGTTTCCGCTGGGGTTTTGCGCGTAATTAATATAACGAACCCATCTCAAACTCTCCGATTTCAAATTCCGAGCTGTTACATATTACACCACCTGCACATCCAAGCTCACAACACCTGATATTCCCAAGCGGTTACCCCCCTCTATGTATTGAGCCGTCTCACTTCTATGATCGCACGAGAAGCCATGTTTAAACGTGATATAATCGTAAGCCATAAGGGAGATAACAATATCTTCTTGATAATCTCTATCTAATAAAAGGCAGGATGTGTGTGTGTGTGTGTGTGTAACGAATGCACGGCAGCGATTTTCGACGGATTTGCACCAAAATGTACATGCACATGCTCTAACCTAGCAAAAGGCCAAAACCGACGTTGCATTTTTACTTCATCGATAGTGGAAATAATCACCAATTTTTAATGCTTCTGCAGCAGTTTTCATGTAGTTTGCGGCCATTTTCTATAAATTATTTTTTGAGAGCCTATAGCTGGCTTCCAGGAATAGGCAGGAAGATTCTATTGGCCAGCGTGAGAGCCAATAGAATACTGACACGAATGTTAACTAGCATGCTAGCATGCAAAAAATTGATAGCTGCATTCGTCACAAGTGGAAAAATTTTAAATCTGCATGGCACTTTACTCCAATTGGCTAATTCGCTTGCTTAAACTCAACGTTGATTCTGATTCCGCAGAACTGAGTTGGGTGTGAAAAAATGTATTTCACGGTTAACATTCTTTTTAATTCGGTTTTCCAGTTACGAGTCCTTTTTTAAAGCTGATCGTGTTGTGTTCATTTTGTTATAGTTCTTTTTTCGTAACAGATTTAATGTTTATTAAAGAAAGTTTGAAAAAACTTCGCAATAGTTTTGAGATAGGCAAGAATGTTTTCCATGTAACAACATCAGCACGGCAAAAGGCACTCCTTTAAAGGCAAGGTAGGGCAAAAAATTATTTTAAGTCAAGTGATAAACATTGCCTGTATGAGTCGTACGATTTTTGAAAATAAGCACGGGCAAATGTAAAAGGCCATGCTGCTAGTGTTAGATAATATAAAGACGTTGTCATCAAATCAAACGGTATAATAATAATTATCAATATGTATTTAATTATATATTCCCTGTGCCATCTCACGACGTAATAAGACAAAATGAATTATAAGCGGTAATAAGCATGTATTTACAAGTAACATTTACTTTCAAACAAATATATCAGTGTTCTATTAACGTTATCGCAGAAAATGTGTCAATCATTATATATTTTGTCTGAATATATGAATTATATCCTAGATTCAGCACTCTTTGAATCTCTAAATATATATATATAACTGTTGAGAAATATTTTTATAATCGAGTCACTCCAAGCAAGGCAATAAAGTCAATAAAACACAAGGTGGTTACTGCGTTTGAAAAAAAAAAAAACAGAAAAAAAAATTAAAAAACAGAGACATTGCTAAGGAGCGGTAATAAAAGAGTAGGACGACAGCAGACGGCGATTGATATTGCATTTATTTTTATTTTTTTAATCAAAGCTTTCTGGAAAGCATGGAGTCGGAAGGGAGTCCCACAAATGAGAAGTGCGAGAAAAGAAAAGTGTTAGCATAGAATTTTTGGTTATATCCGACCATCTCAACTGAAAATTGGTGAGAGCTAGACGTCAGCCTAGTACTACGCTTAAATTCAATAAGTCTGGGTACCATACCAAAGAGCTCATGTGATCAATTACTATGAAAGTATTTATAGAGAAGGCACAGGTAGGCAACTTTACAGCGTCGGGAAAGTGACTGAAGCGGAGATGCCAGATCAAGAATAATATTGCTGATTCTTCTTTGGATTTTAACAAAGCACTCTAGATAAATACCAGGAGCACCGGACTATATGTGGCAGCAACATTCTAAGCGGATACGAATGGTAAACATAGATATATAAGATATATTCATAACACCCTGTACATTTTAGTTTTGCATTAATGTCCAAGATGCAACACAAACTTGTTCTATAAATGTAAGATTAAATTTAAATAATTCCCTTTGTCTTACATTGTTTCGTGTATTTAAGAATATTTTGTCCAATGAAAATCATAAAATGGAAAATTTTCTTGAAGAAAGGAAGGAGATTAGAACGAGAGCGCAAATGATGCTAATGATTACGCGTATCTGAGGATCTGATGCAGGCAGGCGGCAGGCTGATAGGCAAAGATATCCACATGTATTGCAGGAACGCCGTGAAGTAATAAGAGCACAAGACAGGCGAACTAATGAGAAAGAAGAGGGTAACAGGAAGAGAGAAGGCATGCGAGTGAGAGCATCGCAATGAAGATTGAATGAAAAAGTGGAAGAAGTTAGTGTACGAAGCGCTGAATTGAGAGAAAGTGTAACTGAAATTATTCCAAATGAATCAGAGGGAGAATCTAAGATGTGAATAAATGAGAATGAGGATGAAAGAACCTCTTCAACAATAGATAGGAGAGCAACGTAAGAGAAGGAGGATTGAGAATTCTGACGCCATGCAAAACGCAAGAAATGTTCAAAACAAAATTAATTGTGTAAATAATCTTCCGTTCACTGAAGCCAATTATCAACAACATAACTGGGGCGTTTAAAAATAATAAGCCATCATTTTTCATAGAACGGTCACATTTCCTTTTTTCTTTATGTGATGTGTTCCTTCGGGAGATAAACGATCATGGTTCTCCATAATTTCTTTGTAGCTCTAATTAAATTTAGTCTTTTTGTTATTTCATCTAAAACTTTAGCACACTAAATACGCTATGCATTGTTTTTCACTGTCCCTCTTGCCTTGAATTTGTCCTGTGAGTATCAAATTTTATAACCTCTCATTCCTCATTATGTGGCCTGGAAATTTGTTTCTTTAAACCTTCGTCGGTGCCCACATGTTCTGCCCATTTTAACCTCAGCATCCTTCTGTACGCCCACATTTCTGTTGCTTAAAGTCTCTCTTCAACTTTGAATAGATTGTCCAGCATTCTCTGCTATATAGGAGGAGTGAAATCACATAACAGTTCAGCACTTTGTTTCTAAGGAAATGTGTCTGTTTCTTAATATACTGATTATCATTTGGAATGTATGCGTATATGTGTTTTCCTTTACAAAATGAAGGTTTGACCAGATGTCCTTCAGTGTTTTATTCATTTTTACACGCATACACACACACACACACACACACACACACACACACACACACACACATTTATATATAAAAAGTGTTTTAATATGTCAACACTTAGAGGCTCCAGTTTGTTTCATGCTAGATGCAATCGTCAGGCCCGACATGAAACATACTGTCGCCTCAATTTGTTGATTTTTATGTTCACTTTTTATATTTACATCCATATCTCTGTTATTGAACCACTGCAAATTTTTATCCCATAAATATAGCACATCTTAAGACCATATATTTTTTTCTCATATATATATATATATATATATATATATATATATATATATATATATATATATATATATATATATGTGTTATCAAATGACAATTGGAAAAAAATCTTACATTTTGCCGACGCGTTTCGTCTTCCGACTTTTTCAAGGCAAAAATGAAATCGAACTGTTTTTTCTTGTTATAGTTACATTAAAATTCAAAATTAAAAAGATAGACGCTTGTGTCTAAGCCTTTTTTTCTTGTTAATGTAAATTACCTTTATAGTAAGGGATTATTATTTCTATTTTTTTTTTTTGTCGACAATATAGTTAAATTCTCAGATGAATTCTGTGGACAAGACAGATTGTTATCAAACGACAATTTGAAAAAAATCTTACATTTTGCCGACGCAAATATATATATTTATATAATATATATAATATATATATATATTTAAGATATATAAATATTACATATTTATGTATCGAGGATGTTGAACACTTTTTACCCTTAATATAGCATAACTTAAAATACAATTTTTCCATATATATATATATATATATATATATATATATATATGCGTGTGTGTGTGTGCGCGTGTGTGTGTGTGTGTGTGTGTATTGTCTTATCGCATGATGTGCTAATAGTATAATGGATAACAGCTTGAGATGAGAAATCGGAGGGCAAAGTTTAAATTCCAGTCGAGTTTATATTCACACATGCAAATTCACATGGGAAAGGTATCTTTCCATCTCACCACTTCAGCTATCGGTTACATAGTTCACTGGTCATGGTTGCAACGATTCTAAAAGAAAGGCAATTCTGCATTCGAAGGGCTGTTTTGGGGCCTCGCATCATACAATGTATTCAGTTCTTCCGAAAAACTTTCGCCACAATAATCAAATATCTATGGGTAATCTGACTATTCAGATACTGAATTTGAATTTTGGACCTTCATACGTAGGAGTCGAAGGAAGAAATATTTTGGATAATCCTAATAAATATCTAAATGCCCATTTGGTTTGACAATATCCAATGATTTTTTTCTTCCGAAAGCCGAAGCTAATCTAATATTTATAAGAAAGATATGCAGGTGTTAAAGTGTTTTCTTTTCATCTATGTAAATGTTTTTTGTTGGATTTTGTGAACTTAATTAAAGCAAAATGCTTGCTTCAGTAATTTTCTTCAGCTGTGAATAAGATTAAACTTTTGGGAATTATATTATCTGATGAGACAAGGAAACCTGGATATTTATACGCATCTTGTTTCTCACTGTCGATTGAGATGGTTTAACTTTTGATGATTATTTAATAGAAAAAGAAAGAAAGAAAGAAAGACAGAAGAGAATCGAATTATTCGTTTGCTTCGAAGATTAAAATTGCATTTTAACTTCTTTTTTTTATTTTTAAGACCTGATTAGAGAAGTTTCAACATAGGCTCTCTTAGAATCACTGACGTTAAGCAACACCGAACCGGGTCATTACCTAGATGGGTGACCATTTGGGAAAACCGAGTGCTGTAAGATTGCATGTGCGTAATGTGTCATAGATGACGCATCGGAACTGTAAATCGGAAAGCTGGGTTCCAAACCAAGTCAGATTCATTATAATCACTTACACACAAATACCTTGGGAAAACTATGAATACATCTCTTCTCCCTCATCTATAGGTTAATTAGATCAATAAATCATTATTTTCTAAAAATAATTCTTCCAAACTAAAAATATTTTCTGGGTTTAAATATAATGCCAAAGGTTGATAAGTTATCAAAAACCAATCAGTCATAGAGAAGATTCACAGAACTTTCGTCATTGTAATCAGTTCGCTCTTAGCAGTTTTACCAACAATACAGAAAGTGTAGGTACCGTAAAGCTTATTAAATAACTGCTAAAATCTCATTTTAAATTCAAGTCTAATTTGAAGAAGTATTATCAGTAAAACTCATATAATTGTTTTGTCTGGAACTTAGAAATTTTTAACGATGGATGCACTGTTTTGATTCAATTTGATCTGCCAAATTAAGAAATTATCATGCGCATGCGTGAACAGATACTCTCCGGCAACGTAACTTAGGCGTCATTGAGACAACACTGAGCCAGTTTGTGTACTGTCTGAACATCGCATTCACAATAACTGTACGTTTAGATTCCTTATGTTTCGAACCGTTTCTTCGTGTCACAAATCATGGAGACCATCATCCAATATAATTCAAGATTTCAATTCCTACATATTCTGGATTTTCTCAAAGAAAAAAAAAATCTCCGCTGAGATGCCTAGATCTAGATTAACCCTAGAAAAATAATTCAAGATCTAACGCTACTGTTACTAGGTTTTTGCATTCAAATAATATCAACAGGTGAAATTACCGAATTAAATGGCATCAAAGAAAGCTAAGCATATAAGAAGCATACTCATTCTATCAAGGCGTGTTTATGAAAAAGGTTTTATTGTATTTAATCATGAATGGATACCAGAGTGGTGTACATATATACTGGGTGTAACAGCATAATTGTCCAAATCATGTAACAGCATGGGATAATTGTCCATCCCACAAAATTTTTAATATCTAAAAAACACAAAACTAATTGAGTTACTTTTTTCTAAGTTTTCAGATTAGACGTTTAGCGTTCGTGACACCATTTGTCGTAGGAATCACTGAAAAACAGCTAGAAAGAGAACCGGGTAAAATCCTTCTGTGTCAACCCGACTATATCTACTCAAATGAGCAATGATGAGAGGGAAAAAGATCATTCAGGCCTTCGGTAATGTTATGAACATTCATACTCAGGCTTCCTTCTTCAAAGTCCATTCAAGAACCATTGAGAGGGGAATAAATTTAAAAATTGGCAGCAGTAGAGGGGAAAACTGGATCAGGTGGTCACAACAGCAAGAGGGATCATCTTTTCAACTTAGAGATAATTACATGCTTATTGTTCAAAGTAGATTTATAAAAAAAAAACATTGGAGTATTCCAGTAAGATATTTTAATAATATTTAAGTTACAACGGTTTAAATCTTAATCTAACAACTGGACAATTTTGCTGCTACACTAAATATATATATATATATATATATATATGTGTGTGTGTGTGTGTGCCCATCGCACCATATATATATATATATATATATATATATATATATATATATATATATATATATAAATATATATAAATATGTAATTGGTGTATACGGAATGAATTCCAATAACCAACAATTACTATTCTTAAAAGAGTGCTCAATACAAAGTAGAGCAGATATAATTATTATTTATAAAAAAAAAATTATAACATAAATATGTCATAAAATCACTACAATAATAGCCATTTTGTTTCAACACCCTCGGTGTCTTATCAACTGATGATGTTGAAGATAAAAAAAAGATTTTTTTTTATCTTCAACATCATCACTTGATAAGACACCGAGGGTAATGGCTATTTTTGTAGTGATTTTATAAATATTTTTATGTATTATTATTTTTTAATAAATAATAATTATATATATATATATATATATATAAAAGGTGCGATGGGTAAATTTTCACCATTTTATATTTTTATTTTCGCTCATGCGCGTTGTTAGGTTTTGATTTTTATCGACTGCACATTATAGAAAACGGAAACCATGACGCAATTCACTCGCCAGAATTTTGAAAACGACTTGCTGGTCCTTTTGCCATTCCCCCTGTTTTCCTGGCCGCCTAACTAACCAGACTGTAATCCCTTTAATTATTATGTGTGGTTCGCAGTTGAGCGAGAACAACAAAACTTCTTTTGACACCAAAGATGAACTGAAGGCAAGAATTATCGCAGCATTCACCAACTTAAACAAGGAGACCATCCAGAAGAGATGTCGAAAATTCCGAAGTCGTCTGGGGGCCGTGGTTGAAGCTAATGGCGATTTCATTGAATAACTGTACTCTTTAGTATTGCAAGATGTTTTTGTGGATTTTTGGTAAATATATCT